ACAGAAATAGCCCCTTCTTTGATTTAGCAAAAGCCACAATTTTTTCAACGATTGTGAATTCTTGTATTATGCGCTACTGTGAATAGTTTCTGCACGTGACAGAAAAGAAGAAACAAAAAGCGATTGTCAAACTGCGAATCGCAGCTAATATCATTCTATAGAATTTTTGCCAGTTTTCCGACGAATTTCTTGTGAAGCAGGGAAGGTGGCTTTGCTGTTGCCAATTTGATTCCGTAGTTGCGAATATCTTAAAATTAATTTAGTGCGAAATATCGAAGAAATGGCTGCAAGATTTATTCAAAAGATTGTGAGTGAACGTGTTGCCGTTGTCAAATTAATACCGAAAAGGACTGCAAAACTTATTTATTCCTTAACAATCTATAAATGTTCGCTAAACTCCCTTTACCTACCTCTTTTTTGTTTAACGCGTTGTATTTTAGTTAACAAGTTTTGGAGTTAATATCGCACGTTTTGGACAGGAGCGCCTGACCAATGCAGTTGCCAACGTTAAGGTTCGTCCTCCAGAGCGTAGAGCTCTTTAAATTAGCGACGTTCAGCGAAAACGATGCTGCATCGCTGTCAGATTTTTACATAACACCAAATTGAATTCAAAATTTAGCCAGATTGTGTGTGCCATTGCACAATTATTTTATTTGCCAATGTAGAATAGTGCAATTCTGCTAGTGCGCTTTAGTCTTGTTGCCTTAACCAGTTTATGTCCGTTTTTATTAATTGCTTTATATGTGCAAAAATGCTGTATTGCTATATTTTTCGAGGTAGAAAATTGTATAACCTCAACAAAAGACCTGCGATACGTTACCATGGCTTGTATGCCGAAACCCTCAAATCACCTCCATCAACTCGATATTGTCGTATTGCATGAAGCATTTGCGGGTGGTGGAGGTACATGGCTGCTATCCGACTCTGTCAGCTGGGCGAATTTTGGAACTTCGTGGACACAGACAGTCGGCAGGCATACAGACGGTAGACGAATGCGAAAAATCGCTTGGAGGAGTGTAATTATGTAATATCAGTTGCCATTGAAATACATACGTGTATGGCATTAGATATGAAAGTGCGCGTGCTCCGCGAAAGTTTGATAAGCTACTAAATTAAGCGTTTGTTTACTGATAGAGCGGCACGCTTAATTTGCGTGTAAATATTTATTTAGTAGTAGTGTTTATCTAAATGTGTTTTTAGAGTTGAATGTATGAATGATACGATTAAACTAATAATTTTACCGGTTGTTTTTTTACCATTTAAGGTTAGCACTGCACCTACGTCCGCACGTGGCTATGCTTCTGGCACCAGAAAAGTTACTCTAATCCCTGGTGATGGTATTGGTCCAGAAATCTCTGCTGCTGTGCAAAAGATTTTCACAGCTGCCAACGTGCCAATTGAATGGGAATCCGTCGATGTCACGCCCGTTATGGTAAGTGGAGGCCGGACGCTCAAATAAAGATAAAGATATATATTTATTATATTTGCAAAAATAAAAGTTTTGCAAGTACAAAGTATGTTATGCAAATAAATACGGACTATGTAAGATATGGATTTTTAGATAAAAATGTGAACAACGCACTTAACAAAATCCTACATCTTATTAAAGAAATTCTTTTAGCTTAGAAACAGTGAAAGTTGCATTTTTAATTTGGTAATTAGGCATGTTATGAAAATAAATTATATGGCATGTGTAAATAACGTTTGTGAAGCGAAAATATTAAAGTTGTGTGTAAAGCTCTGACAATTAAGTATCTGCAGCAAGCAATCTCTTAGTACAAATTTGGTCGTCTTAGGGAAATACATATGGTTATTTCTAGGTCAGGTCCTTAGCAGCAGACCCACATAGAAGCCGAGCATATCCTTATATTTGTGATATAACTATACATAGTATTTATTTAAAGAAATGATTATTCCACTCTAAATAGTTCAAATTAAGGCTGACTTCCAAAGCGTACCAATACAATGTTTGGATATTGTTCTTCTGCGGTATTTCAACGGTTTGGATATGCAGAGTTACGAAACATAGCAACCGTATATACTATACATGGCATATTTTGAATGTTCAATAATACAACGATAACGGAATTTTCCATTTTTAAAACACCAATGGTAACCAAAAACAAGCGTAGCATCAACTTTGTTTCTGATGCGCTGATTACTCTAGCGATGCGTTTCGATAAATTTTCGGACTCGTTTTGGAAAAGTATACATTGTCAATAAGTTGTAGTTCGGCGTTATGGAATATTAAACTTTGTACGTATGCAATGCAATTGGCGTTTTAGAAGTTATAAAGTTACATATTTCGAAAATTTATTGCATATAAAATTATTGGCAAATATTACTAAACAACTTTCTAATCACCGCACATACAGTTGTATACATGTGCATTCTTATGTATGTATGCATATTAATAAACAAGTTAAATGAATTTGTTGCTGCCATTTAAATGGTGTCTCGCATATGATACTGTTTTATTTATTTCGAGTACGAACTTGATTCAGTGATCCCAATTATTTCAGACTATGTATGTGTAATTTCATTAGTACCAGAATATCTGTGTATGTATGCAAAACAATAAAATATTTGGAAATTTTGCAGGTACTTAAACACTAATAACTGCACATTTTTGTGATAAGGCCGTCTGCTTAGACAATTTGAACTTTGATGTTTTATATGAGCATGTTGTGATTAATTCATTTTTTATTTAGCTATTTGTTATGAATATTATTTATTTTTTTTTATTTTTTACTTTTGGTTTGTGTTATGAAAGAGTTGAATAATTTTATGCCATGCGAAATATATATATGTATGTACATACATATATGTAGGATTTGTATTAAAAGTTATGATTGTCATTAGACTGAAATGGTGGAATGGAAAAAACCAAATGAATTTTTCAAAACCGCAGGAGCTGTCGATCGTACTTGAGTTTTAGTAGAAGGTTAAATGATATAAGCTTTTGCTTGTTGGTAACAACAATTTTAATTGTGTAGAATGTTAGGGCAGATAAATATTAATATTAACAGACATTCACATTACATATGTATTTGCAAATAAAATTCTTTCCTTAATTTCTACCACCAAACAGGGTCCTGATGGCAGGTTCGGTATCCCACAGGCAGCCATCGATTCGGTCAACACAAACAAAATTGGCTTGAAAGGTCCTCTAATGACACCGGTGGGCAAGGGACATCGCTCATTAAATCTAGCTTTGCGTAAGGAGTTCAACTTGTACGCTAACGTAAGACCGTGCCGTAGTCTTGAGGGCTACAAGACGCTCTACGACGATGTCGATGTGGTAACAATCCGCGAGAACACCGAAGGTGAATACTCTGGCATTGAGCACGAAATCGTCGATGGGGTGGTGCAGAGTATCAAGTTGATCACCGAAGAGGCGTCGAAACGTGTCGCTGAATACGCCTTCCAATATGCCAAGGCCAACAACAGGAAGAAAGTGACCGTTGTGCACAAAGCTAATATCATGTAAGTAAAATACTTTTAACGAGACACATCAAATTTCGAAAGTACCAACCACAACTAACCTTTTGGGGTATGTACTTTCAGGCGCATGTCCGACGGTTTGTTTTTGCGTTGCGCACGCGACATGGCCGAGAAGTATCCGGAAATTCAGTTCGAAGAACGTTACTTGGACACTGTGTGTTTGAATATGGTGCAAGATCCTAAGAAATATGATGTGCTGGTAGGTTTAATTTTCTGGATATTACTCGAATTATAAGCTACGGTGTTAGCTACTTTGATCTGCTCGAATATTCTAATTCATTAGATTATTAACAAAATTTCAGGTCATGCCCAACTTGTATGGTGATATTTTATCTGATATGTGCGCCGGTCTCGTCGGTGGTTTGGGCCTTACACCATCCGGCAACATGGGCCTCAATGGCGCCTTATTCGAATCTGTAATTAATGCCCAATAAAGTAACTTCGCTTTTACTAACTTAATTTTTTCGCACAGGTTCACGGTACTGCCCCCGATATCGCTGGCAAGGATTTGGCCAACCCCACTGCTTTGCTGTTGTCGGCTGTCATGATGTTGCGGCACATGGAGTTGAATGAGCACGCCGATAAGATTCAGAATGCCTGTTTCGAGGTGATCAAGGAGAGCAAGTATTTGACAGGCGATCTGGGCGGTAAGGCTAAGTGCTCCGAGTTCACAAATGAGATTTGTGCTAAACTGTGAAGTGGTTGAGTAAACCATCTGAGGTGAACATGTACGCAGTTTCGTGTATATTCGCCCGTTTCTGATTTGACCAAAACAATAAATTTTACGCACTGCTGCTTTACACCCTACAAAAAATTAAGAGAAAAGAAATACCTTAAAATATAAAATTTAAGTATACATATATATGTAAAACCAAAACTGCTTGAGATGAATAGTATTGTACGTTCGAATAGAAAAATATACACGCGTATGCTGTATGGTGCATGAATATCGATGCGTACTGAAGTTGCTACCCCGGTATAAAATTAAATTAACTAACTTCAGTTGTAAATTACGGTATAAAATTAAATTAAATTAACAACTACAGTTGTAAATTACGTTTGCTCTCCATCTACAATTCACTTGTTAATGCGTCTATCATCATACTATACAAGTATTCATTCGAACTTTTAATTACGTTCATGTTAAAATTGCCTATCGGGTATTTATTTAGTAATTATATTACGTTTATTAGTCAATATTTATTTAAAGATATTTGCTTTAATTTTATGTTTAGTTAACGCCAAGGCCCGTACCAACCATCTTGTGTGGCTTTACAATAGTTTTTAGTAAAATCAAAGTAAAGACTTTCATTATTTTGCCTTTTGTCGTTATTTTCAATAGTATTTGATGTAGTGGCGCGCGTTTAAATAAAACAGTGTCGTTAACTTTCATTTAAAAGCAGTGATGACTTGAACTTATTATTTTTGTCAAAACAATAGGCAAAAAAAAACTCCTCCGACCTAAACAACAGTCATTATGAAATACTAAATAAAGTGTTGAACATTAAGATAAATCAATAAACAGTCAATAAAAAATTGTAAACAATAAAAGAAAATCGGAGTTTCATTTTGCTACGTGATGCTGTTATTGACAGTAAATAATTTTTCTACGAAGGTGAACATGGTAAAGGGTTACTTTATTCCTTAATTGTCTCACTCTCAAAGAAGTGTATCATCACTTAGGCTTTGCACTGCACTGCAGTATTTAAAGACGACTTCATCCGAACTCGGCCTCGGTTAGAAGAATCAGATGTAAGAACCAGGGAGTGAATTGCAAGGTACATATCCAGTCTCTTGGTACTGAAGCCTCGTCGCACCCTCCACCTGCACGGCGTCCAACTCGCGCAACCCGGGATTGGAAACAAGCACCTGAAGGGCTTCTTAGGCTTCGAGCAACAAACCAACCCATCCGAAAACAGTGGGAGCACTTGAGGACATGCAATATTACCTCTGGTGTGACTAAGCTTCCTTCGGTGGATAAGGACAAAAGTCGAGTAATCAGGAGCCAATCGGGAAGATCAAAGCCCTAAAGCCATTGGACCCGGTGGAATATTCATACTGGTGCCGAAAAAAAATTTCCCGGCTGGAATAGTATACCTAACGAAGGTCCTCAATTGGTCGATGGCCACCCTCATAGTTCCAGATGTGTGGTAAACAGCAGGGTGGCGGAAACCAGTAATCAAAAGGGAGTTTTATCGTCCGATAACACTCTTTTTCCCAGTAGTAAGCACATCAGCAAGGCTTCCGTAAAGTGCACAGCATCACCACAGCACTTAAGGCCATAAACACTCCCTAGGACCTGGGGTCGATACCTCTCGGGCAACATTTAAAATTAGAAAAGGTATTCTAATAGCGGTCGCCTCTCAGCAGCAATGGCAAGCCTCCGAGTGTATTTCTTTCTTGAAAAGGCTTCCAATAAAATTCATTTGCCGTTCGTAAGCGGCGTTAAAATGTAGGTCTCCCCATTCATGTAACAACATCAAGACGCACACCACAAATTGGAAGAGAAGCTCTGCCAAACACTTGGCAAACGTGTAACCACCAAAATATTATACAAAAAATAACTCAAGGCCTTAATCGAAACCGCCTCTCCGAGAGATGTCTTGGTAGCGATGGACCTGGAAAGGTCGTTTCAGACCGTCTGCCACTCCATGCAACTAAAAGACATTGAGGCAAGGACTAAAGCGATGAACGGCGAATTACATGATTGGTCGGCAGTCGTTAGTAACCTTTCTCAGCCAAACATTCAAGGGGTTCCGCTGGGTGGTTTACCATCCACGTTATTGTTTAGGTTCTATATTTCTAGGCATCCTCAGACACTGGAGGGAGTTTCCTTGGTGTCATATACTGGAGGTTATCCGATATTGGCTTCGGGCAATGGAAGTTATGAAGCGAAGTTAAACGGGGCCGTGTTCGAGGCACGTAAGCGACATTACTGCTGCACTGATGAAAATTTGCAACACTGTTGTAACTGCCAAACTGACGTGATACTTTAACAATTCGCGCAACACTGCGATTGTGATTGCAACTCGAACAAGCCCCGGCTTTCTCTCTAAATTTTCTACAATCAGGGATCTGCGCCGATGGCACACCTATTAAGGCGGTGAATAACCCGGAAGTTTTTGGGGCTACCTTTGATAGTTTCCTTTCCTTCTCCGCGCACACAACCGCAGTTGTGAACAAAGTACAGTGCTGAAAGAAGGTCCTCAAATCGTTCGCTGAGAGCACTCGGCGAAAATACGTTGGCAACGAATTATACTGCGCCTATTTGGTCACCGCGAACAAGTTGAACGCAATATACGAACCTTAAAAGTTGCCAGAACGCCGCACTCTGGACAGCGACGGGATGCCTTCTGAAGGAACCTAACTTAATGCTTGGCAAACAGTTTCTGGTTGACTGAATTGAGGATGAGCCTCCTCCCGGGCACGTCAGAAGGCATCACTTCGATTTTCTTGACGCGGTCCAGATCCACGTGACTCAACCACTGTATCCGATGGCATACCCCTGAAGCCAGTGACGAATGCGACGAAGGGGTTCAGCTGCCGCGAGACCGGCTTATCTTTGGCTCAGCTAAGCTCTGGACCCTGCGGTCGACAGAACTCATATTTATCCAGACTCGAACCCGACATATCACCTCTTCACCTGCGCACTTAACCCCACTCAGCTTTTACACTTCTCCAGTTTTCTGGACCTACCGTTAGTTGAACTTAGCGACAAAGATTGATGGACTAGCCAACAACCCGTGTTTCCAGTACGTAGAGCCGACCTGAAAAGTGTCCGATATTCCGCTTACACGATCCAATAGGGCTTGCGTAGAATAATTCCATGGAAAGCCTCAAAACTGTGTAGTCTTTGTTCTTCATCGTCCATGTTTCTCGCCGTGGAGAGAGGGCTCTGTTTAACTGCTTACAGAGAATAAAGGATCAGCCGTTGGTAAGAGTTCAGTGGACTTGGTTTGAACTCCAGGCTGACATTATTATTGACGGTAAAGCTGGATCCTAAGTAGACAAAGTCCTTCACCACATTGTCCTACTACGCGAGGGGTTTTTATGTGTTGATAGGAGGGACTTCGTTATGCTTTTGGTCACCGTTAGATCGACATAATTTGCCTCCTCTAAGCTCGATAAAGTTGGGCCTTCTATCTGAAACTTCGTTTGGTAACAAGGTCCTTCCAATTCTGAGGTAGCTGGTGGCATCGCTCAGTGACATTTTACACAGCCGTATCAGTTTTGCAGGGACAGGGAATTCAGACATTGCGGCAATAAGCTAGCCAATGTACTCATCGAAGCTGTGTGGAATGCAATATTCAATAATCTGCTGTTCATTTTCTGGGTACCTGAAATGTTCTTGGAAAATCTTTGTCCTATAAAAATTTATACCGTTAAAAATCTCGTTTTCATATGATGGGTGCTTCCAGCATATTTATCAACACTCTTTCGCTTATGTTTGTAAGTTAGTCTAGTAGATTTGAAGAAAAAATTTCATTGAAAAAGTTAGCGATGTAATTAATGTCTTCATGATTCTATGGCAAATAGTATACGTGTATGCATTCGTCTAGATCAAATCCTATAGTTTAGTAAAAAACGCAAGCGGTGTGTTGAATTCTTTAAGTAATATATCCATTTTTATTCCCTGGAAAAAAAATTGGAACGTCCGAATATTTTCCAACCGTCTTTTGACAACCAATGGACATCTTTAGGGAGGGGCAATTACGGTGCCCATGCTCCTATATTTCGTACTTGTGCAGAATTAAATACGGTCTTCAATGCCTTAGATGTTGATTTCTTGCAACCTAGTGCCACTTCAATCAACCATCTACGTCAATTCTTTTCCCAGCTGCACCAATAACCATTTATTGATCGTTTGCTACATTTTATTTTTACATATGTTTAGTTTTACTTTAACGTTAATTTCTACATATTTCTAGATTTATACTCAGTCTGTAAGAATATTTGTATTCAAAGACTTGAAATAAATAAATACATATACATATCAATTTACTTGACAAGAGTTCTAACACGGTGGGTATCAAAAAACCCTCCCAGAAGCATATATGTATAAAAAATTATCATAAATTAGAAATACTTACGATGCCGAGCAAATGTTTAAATTACAAATAATTTATAGCCATTAAAAAACGTCACTAAAAATACATTCCAGCAGTGGATATTTTTTTGTATATATTTGCATTTTATTGTGATATCCGTTTATTAGATATAAGTTAGTAGGTAAGTTAAGAGTTATACATTTCCAGAATATATGTAGGTATGTATGTATGTATGTATGTCTGTACGTATGTATCTACATACATGTATATATTTTTTAATATAATTTTCTTTAAATAAACTTTTACTAAAACTACAAATTCTTGCACATACATATACGGTTTCCGTTATAAAGTATACATGTACATATTTACTTTCAAATTTTTATTCATTAATTTAGTTGTTTGTTTTTGCCATTATTGCGTCTCGTCATTGCAGCTGCTGCAATTTATTTCTATTCATATATATGTATACGTACGTGCATACGCTTCCATTTGCATATGTTAACAAATTGTAGAAATTTGTTTAAGCGCGTCTGTATGTACGTGCATACATATGGATGTTTGCGCTCAGACGACACTTTATTGCTGCGTCAAAATTGCCAAGCACAATAATAACGGACAATTAAAAATTCAATTCAATGTTATTTATTAACGTCGTCTGTTACACTTACCACACAATTAATGTATGTATGTACTATTTATTATTATTACTTTATTTTAATTTTGTGTACGTGTATGTTTTTTCGCTAATTTTGTCGCGTTACACTTATTAAAATTAGCATACATTACTCTAATGCAGGTATGCATTTTTATTTTTTATTTTTATTTTTGGTTACTTACAAACTAATTACAGTAAGTAAAAATATTTGCAAACTGTTGTTTTACTAATTTTTTAATTACAATATTTTACTTGTAAGGTGCTTAGAAGTACTAAAT